TATTGAGGGTCAACCTGACGGATGGCCTTCTGCAGGGACTCCTCCCAGGTACGACCAATAGCCATAACCTCACCAACCGACTTCATGGCGGAGCCAATGTCGCGGTTGACGTGTTGGAACTTGCTCAAATCCCAGCGGGGAATCTTAGTGACGACGTAGTCCAGACTAGGCTCAAAGTTGGCGGTAGTGGTCTTAGTAACGGCGTTGGGGAGCTCGGGAAGAGTATGTCCCAAACCAATCTTAGCCGCAGTGTAAGCAAGCGGGTAACCGGTAGCCTTGGAAGCCAGAGCGGACGAACGCGAAAGACGAGCGTTGACCTCGATGACACGGTAGTCAAGTCCATCGGGCTGCAGAGCGTACTGGACATTGCACTCGCCAACGACGCCCAAGTGACGGACAATCTTAATGGCAGCAGTGCGGAGCATGTGGTACTCCTCATCAGACAGAGTCTGACTAGGGGCAACAACGATACTGTCACCAGTGTGGATTCCGAGAGGGTCGAAGTTCTCCATGTTGCAAACGGTAATACAGTTGTTGGAAGCGTCACGGACAACCTCGTACTCAACCTCCTTCCAGCCCTTGAGGGACTTCTCGACGAGAATCTGGGGGGAGAGAGACAGCGAGCGGGAGGACAAGTCACGGAGCTCATCGGGGTTGGAAGCGAAGCCAGAACCCAGACCACCAAGGGCGTAAGCAGACCGGACAATGATGGGGTAGCCAACCTCCTCGGCGGCCTTGAGAGCGTCCTCGACAGTCTCGACGGCGGTCGATTCGGCAATAGGAATATCAATCTCGTTCAAGGCCTGGGCGAAGAGGTCACGGTCCTCACTGGTCTCCAGGGTCTTGATGGGGGTACCGAGCACCTTGACACCGTAGCGTTCAAAGGTACCCATGCGGTTCATCTGCACACCCAGGTTCAGGGCGGTCTGACCACCGAAGGTGAGGAGAATACCATCGGGGCGCTCGCGCTCAATGACGTGGGTAACATATTCGGGGGTGACGGGGAGATAGTAGACTTCATCCGCAAGCTTGTGGTCGGTCTGGATAGTCGCAATGTTGGGGTTGATCAGAATCGAGTGAACGCCGGCTTCCTTGAGAGCCTTAAGAGCTTGAGAGCCTGTTTGATCCCACAGTCAAGAGATTAGTTACTGTCATTTGGATTGATTTTTAGGAGCTTCCCCGCAGAAAAGTTCCCCGTGTACACCCCTATGGGGGACTGACGCGGTGATCTAATCGGGCGAAAATTTCATCTCCAAGTGGTTCCAACTTACCAGAATAATCGAATTCTCCAGCCTGTCCAATGCTCAGACCACCACTACCAATGACGAGGACCTTCTTGACATCGACGAGATTGCTACCAGTCGACACCGCACCACTAGCGAGGTAAGACTCGGCGGCCGGGGGCTGCTGAGAAGCCAGACGGTTCAAGGTGCTGGAGAAAGAACGGAGCTGCTGAGACCGCGCCGTGGGGATCTTCTGTAGGCGTAGAGTCGAGGCCGTCGAACGGACGGACTGAGATGAGAATGCGCGGAGAGAGAGTGCCGGGCGGGTTTCAGCAATGCAACGCTGGCGCAGCAGGGCGGCGGCCTGCCCACATCGAGCAGCAAGAACCATTGCGCACCGAAGGTAATGTTTCAATTGCTGGGAGATGTGTTGAGGATGAGTCTACGCTCTGATGGGGATTCTTTTTTTTTCCGCCAAGGAGTTGCTAATTGGTTCGTTCCCTTCACCGTATACGGCTCCACTTTTGAAGAACAACGAGGGAAAGCCGGGGGGAGATTGGGGATTATACCTGGGGATAGGAATAGATCTGGAGGATCTAATAATGAATGTTAATAATTCATATAGAAGAGGTTGGTTTGGTTTTATGTTCCTTTCTTCTCCCTTTTTTGGTCTTTTTTTGTTATAAATTTTTTTTTTAACAGCGATGAGTCAAAACCTGGATGTGGAGACGGGGCTCTCTCGGCAAATATCTTTTTGATGTATACCAAATCCTATGCCCAGGTGTATACTAAGTAAATCCTAGGTAATTATCTTTTGCCATATATGCATTGTCATTCATATAGAAGTTACAGAGTATATAGCAGGCAATTGGGCGCTTCCAGCAAGCACATGATGCGTGTCACTCTGTGATGATCTACCAGTGGACAATGCCGATGCCGGACCCCAACCCTATCTCTTATCTCTGAATTTCAAGCAACGATATTACACCACAACCCTAATTGACCGTAAATTAGCTACCGAAATTGGCTACCTGAACACGCCGATTCAAGCTCCCTTTTTACCAAAATCTTAGTTATTCCAATGTCACGTGTGTAGGATATATCTTTCATCACCAGTGCTTGTTGCTCAATTAGCACCTAGGATCATTTAGGGCTGCTTAGTGATCGGCTCACTCTTCACTCAGTGTACTTAGGTTCAAGTATTAGTTGATGTGTGTGATCATTTTCCTTAACTCCGTTTGTAGCCGCTTGTGAGATCCTAGGTATGACCTGTACAATGTTTAGATGTCGACGGGGAGACAAGGCAGACAATATAGAATGGCCGGATCTTATCTTCCTAGAGTCGGTCTCTCAAAAAATGCCGTTCAATATGAAGGTTGATTGTATAGAATTGTAGCAATCAATATATAGAGGAACACCCTCGCACCTAGAATTCTAAAACTATCCCTTAGAAAATCACTGCGTGCATCAAAAGAGAGAAGAACCTGGCTTGGTCCTACTAATAGTAGACATCCACGAAATGATTGATAGAAAGATGATGCCACGAACCGTCAATTCATGCCTTTCATCACACTCCCTTGGGTAATTTCGTCTAAAAAAGGAGAAATATAACCCGCAGGATAGGCCACGAATAGACCGCTACTTTTTGCCATCCCGAACACAGCATCAGTCTGAGAATTGGGCGCATAAATGTGGGTTGAATGAGGGTGTATTTAATATTGAATCTCGAGTTCGTCTGACCGAAGTCTACCATGTATAAGATAAGATAATAGGGCAAAGAGAAGTTGCACCTGCATATATAGGAGATCCCTAACATCAGAATGAAATCCTTTTAGGTCGAAACGTTCTCTGCTTGCTTCTCTTGTTGCAGCATTTTTGTCGTAGGTATCGTGGGGGTGTTAACTTTCGGGTTAACGCCCGGTAATTAATAAACAAAAAGAAAAGCAAGGGTGCAGAGAAAAGGTTGAAACGATGATAGCGACATGAAGCGGCTTCACAATATTGAAGGCAGATAGGATAAACAACCACATAAGGAGATGTGATAAGACATATCGTGATCATATAAAGCACAGAATCAGAATCGCAAAGATAGAATAGTCAGGACCAGAAATGAAGACATACAATACCGGATTATGATAGAACCTCATATTTTGTAACATGCGCTCTGGAAGACCAAGACGAGGACTCTCAGGGTGGTCATGCATTGCATCGGTAGATACTGAAGAGAAAGCAGAGGTTTCCGTGCCCATAGTGAAGCTAAGAATGCAGCCCAGAAGAGACCTGTCAAAATAGTAGGTGACTTGTAGAGTCGTCAAAAATAAAGTACAACTTACGTGCAGGTCCTAGGCACAGGCCGATCAGTATGGGTTATGTAAGCCCGCCATCAACCTGTGGACCTCAAGGTTGGAAAAAGAGAAGCTCGATCCATGGATCCATATAGCTATGTGGATCTTTAAGGAGTATATAAGCCAATCACAAGCATCAGCGTATTATCTGCCCCTTTTCTACTCAGGTTCCAACCTTACTAGGAACCTTTACATTGTGAACTATAATCATTCTCAAATGTGTCAATCAGATATATTCATGGACCAGCTTATGGACTGAAACCAGGCTCGTACCAGGAGTATCCTAACCGGCAACACAACAACTTTTTTGTTGCCCTAATGGGTACTGTAGCGTTTCAATTGGTTCTACAATATGCCCCAACCCTTCAATCTCCTAGGGTAGGTTGAAACTACACCGTAGACTCAACTGCACTGAGTCTGCTCTGTGAAGAGTAGGTCCGGAGTATGTATTGAGGATCCTGATTCCCAAGCGAGTGATCATCTTATGCCTAGCTTTGACCCGGACTTTGACCAAGCTCAACAAGGTTCGATGACCTGTTATCATGTTGGGAAAATCCACCTCATTACACAATTATTGTCAACTGAATTATAGAATGAATCTACGATAGTAACTCCTCAATGAACAGAACTGCCGATCCCAGACCGAACTGCCACCCTGAAAATTGGGTGGTGAGGCAGGAAGCGAGATTTGTACATACCTACCTACTTTGTACATACTCCGAGTGTATCTGTATGTACTATCCACTTGTGAGAACGATGATCTTGCGAGCCTCACCGATATGATGATCTACATTTGAGACAAATCCTTTCTGGCCTTACAGCTCGGGTAGAGTCGTCAATGGCAGCCAGAACTCCAGAATCTTTAAATAGAAACTAGAAACCCCGAATTCCTTGAACCCACTTATTCTAACAGGGTCCTAGGCAAGATGTCTCACAATGAATGTCAGGTGCTTCTTCGGCCATTACATCTGTGTAGGATGAGCATACAGAAGCTAGTAGTAGTGATTTCTATGGATTTGCCGAAAAGCGCACGGCAAATGGAGGAAAAAAGGCCGTCCTTTACTGGAGTATCATCATCGAAGCCAATGGATACAGTGAAAATTATGAGTCTATCGATGGTTGCGGGAAATTAAGAGGATTTATTAGACAGTACTTGGGTGAGACTTTAAGATATACTTTGTACATAGCCTTGTACACTGCCAGCCCTGAGGATATTTGAATCCTGATCTACCATTGGGCGAACATTATAGATAAGCACATAACTTACTAGCAAACAAACTATCCCGTTAAAATTGAATTGAGTGTAATGTACAATTGGTTTGATACCATGTCCTAGAATCGGAAACCTCTACACTAAAATATCGTTGAAATTAGCCGATAGGGCACATTATATATTAGGGAGAACTATTATAATAAATACAACGCAGCACAATTATTCTACAACCCCCACTCTCCCATTCAAACCTGACCAAGGACCCGGTTGCTTTTCAATCCGAGACCCACCCCTCGACATCCCTTTCGCGGAGCGAGGATCGGAGGCCCATGCATCCGACCCATCTCGGTCCCCCGGACCCTCCAGCATGACCTCATCGAAGTCCTGGTTGAGGGTTTTACATACATCAGACAGAGTCTGTCGGGCGTCCTGCGCAACCTCAGTACCCAATGCGATCTTTTGCTGAACAAAGTCTCGTCCGTTGGCAGCTGCAGCATTAGAGGCAAATGCCCATGCTTCAGCAAGACCCACAACCTCATCCGGGGTCTGATCGGAGACCTGGGTCTGGATCCGCGAGCTGAGAGCAGTAGCCCGCGGCTGGCGGGCGGGGGTGGGGTATTCGGGGAGTAGGTGGGATTCGTCACTTAGGCGATTGAGAGCGCGGAGGGTCGTGGACTTTTCTTTTGAGAGTAAGGCAGATAAGTAGGATTTCTGGAGAGCCAGCGATTTTTGAATCTTAAGTAGTGGGATCAGGTTTTCGTTTGTATATGACAGAACATCGATTGGGTTGGGTGGTGGGATTTCTGGTATGACGAGTTCGTTTTTGTTGGTTGACCGTGACGGAGGCTTCTGGGTCACATTGACTGGCTGACAAGCCCTGGAGGCCGCGTCGAGGAGATCTCTCCGGGCTCGCAGATATGCGGCATATTGCTCCGTAATTTGTATCTTGCGATTCTCTAATCCCTGCCGGGCCTCTTCGATTTCCTCCGGAGGAAGCTCTTGGAGCACACTCTCATCCGGATCCCCTTGACCAACCAGTCGTTCCTCCACCCATTGTACTAGCTCATCCCGGGTCGTTTGTAATGCTTTTGCTTTGGCATCTGTAGTCTCGGCTCGAGGATCATGTTGTGCCTTGGCTTTCTCAAACAATTGCTTTTGGCGGTCTAATTGAGTTCTCGCGCGCACAACTGCTCTCTCGAGGCTATGCACTAGTTCATCCAAGTCCGTGTCAGAGCCATTGCGCCCCGCATCCGCATCTATCTCCGGCAACAGCATGTGCTCTCCATCGTTGGCAACGTCCTCCAAGCTGCCCGCATCGCGTGTTTTAATTTCTTCAAGATAATTCTGAAACACCTGTAGCTTGGTATGGCGGCGTCGATCGCGTAGAAGGGCAAGGTATTCACAAAGTTCGGTGCCGGGCTCTTGCAGATCCGCATCGTCAGAAGGGCGGTCCGGGGTCGTCCTCTGGCGCCTTAATGAGGCGATATTCTCAGATGCCAAGGCGAAATCTTTTCGGGCCGCAACATTGGCCGCCAATGCCTTTAGATAGTCCTTTCTCAGCCCGGGGAGGTCGGTAGGAATCCGTTTGACTTCGGCCACACCATCGGTCGACGCACACAGGGCGAGGTGAGATTGAGCATGATCGCTTGACTGATCGTCGAATTCGATGAATGAGCGCAAATAAGACGTCAGCGCCTGGCGAATTTGAAGGGTTTCCTGGCGCGACTTGACGTAAGGAGCAAGCGGTTTCAGAATGGGTGGAATGTGGGTAGCGTCAGGGGAGATTGGTCGGGTCATGGTTTCATTAGGCGGGGGGGTTTAGAGTACCCTAGGTGGATATGTAAGCTTAAATATCTGGAGAGATAAGCTGAGGCCCTTACAGGCCTTGGAAGACTTCACTGCCACAATCCACAGTGATATGAGATCGAAGTTGTTTACCCAGCTCTTTCGTGGATCGTAGGCTTATGTAACATGCAGATCATCCCGAGGTCCTCCCGGGGCCAAAGTGGAGTATATTGTTTTGCAGTGGGCATCCCCAGGGCTATGATATGCTAAGTATGACGTTCCTTGGTGGCTTATAGGAGGTTAAAAGACGCTGATCGACAATTATATGAGCCCATTATTGAGCCCATTATTGTTCAATTTACTAGATAGCTCCAATTGAGACATCCAATATGCCTCAAAAGGGGCCCGAGCACCATGTCGACGTACTATTTCCATTCATTTGTTCGGATTACAATTGTATAGATTAACAAAAATATCCATGAATTGTGTCATAAGACGGCTACTAGATAGTTTGCCTAATGTGTCGGCTTTTCCGTACGTATGTACATAGGTAAGTAGTTGTACATAGTGTTCCTACATGCCTGGAATGTTTACCATGTTATCTCCAGAGCTACGATGTACATGTACATCCAATTGATGCAGATTACGTGCACGGCCCAATCAAAGCGACAAAGGATAAAAACATTTCACGGCAAGAGAGAAGCCCAACTTCTCAGATCTCTCTCTTCCTGTCTCTTCCTGCCTTTCTCAATTCCCCTTCCCGAAAGGAGACCTTTAACCCTTCCCATAACTGGTATGTTTCAAGAATCTCCCTGGAATTGCATCAAGGGGTGTTTTGATTTATATTTCCGGAAATCTGACCGTTACTGGTTATTTATCCCAAGTCTGAAACACTTATAGTTCAGCCCTTTTGACTCACATGCCGACTACAGGCGCGGAACAAACTTACCGTTAAGCAATATCATCAGAACATACCTGAGAGTCATGGCTCCCGACTTGAGCGCTGTTTCCAACTCTACTATGGTACGACCTCGTGCAGCAACGTCGGCACCCGCTATGGCATCGCAGTCTCCGACACCCCGACAACCAGTACATGGTTCTCATATTTCTACAGCACTTCCGCCTCTAGGAAGTCCACCACTCGGAACGGGGGATTATGGCATCACAAGTACCGCTCAGGGTAAGTCCGCAGTGGCAGGCGTCACTCTATTGGGCTCCTCGACTAACAGAACAAGGGCCATTGCGTCATCCTCAACCGCTGACGCCTTCGGATCTCCATCTAGTGCTTGAAAAAGAGCAAGAAGCAATGGTAAGTGGGATCCAAAAGCCTCAAAGTATACATACCCGTGGACCCCTCAACCGCTGACGCATCAAAACCCCCCGCAGGTGAATCGATTGACTCGAGAGCTATCTATTCTCCGCCAGCAGACAGCATCCGTGGCATCGACAGCATCCTCCACCTCAACATTTAACGAGGCAGATCGCGCACAGGCATCACCTACCCTCAGCAACTCAATCGCATCTCACTCGGCGCGACGGAACCGGTCCAATTCGAGCCTCAGTTCACATACTTCAGCAAACCAGGCCCCGCAGTCTGCAAGTGTCACAGGAATTGCGCCCTCACGAGACATCCCGTATCGCCAGACAGATCATTCTCGAACGGTTCGCAGTCGTGAGCCATCCCTCACCTCTCGCCGACCCTCCATCGGGTCACTATCCTCGTTCTCCCACAATAATAGCAGCATATATCCACACCGGAACTCGGTATCCCAGACCCATCTAGGCCATTCCCCTGGAGGTTCGCTGTCGCGGTTTGAAGAGGCTACACATCATAGGCTGGAGGTGGAATACATGAAGCGGGAGAACGAACAGCTGAGGAGGCGCGTGCGGGATCTGGAGCAGACTTTAAAGAGACAAAAGGAGGATTCAGTAAGTGAGGCTTCTGCCACACCGTCTGAAAGAATCATTGATGCCTGATTCAACTTCTATTCCAACCCATATCATTCTTTCGGATTGCCACTGTGGAGGCAGTGCCCAACATTTTCATACCGGGAGGTTTGCAGGCAAACACATTCAACGAAATCCTATTTTTGACATGTGAAATTCATTTCCCAAGTAGCTGCATTGACAATGATGTAGTCCAATCAAACAAAAAGCCCAACAAAACTAAAGGAAAAAGTACAAAAAGAAATTAACTATGTGAGGCGGTGCAACAGCCCCGCCATACGTCACCACGTCACCTGTGGCGCAGGAGGCCTCCTTAGATAAATAGTCGTATCCCACCTGGGAAATGGTGTGACGCTTAGATTTCTTTTGCAAGTTTCTTATTCTCCCCTCTACCTAACATCATGTCTCACTCTACCGTTCATGTTTCTGGCATCTCGTCAACAACCTCTGAGAAGGAGGTTCGCGACTTCTTCAGCTTCTGGTACATTGTCGCAATTATTACTTAATTTGACAACATGCTAACTTAAAACAGCGGAAAGATTGTCACACTCTCAATCACTCCCGTCTCTGGTGAAGCCGATGCTCAAAAGTCCGCCACTGTGACCTTTGAAAAGGAGGCGTAAGCTACCCCGCACCCAGTTTCAACCTCATTTCCCGCATCCCGCGATCATCCCACATGAAAACCAAAAACTAACCCAAACCCTCAAAACAGCGCTGCCAAAACTGCCCTCCTTCTCGACCAGACTCAACTCGGCTCTTCCGCCGTGCACGTCGAAGCAGCCAACAACATCGAAGACCTAGCCGGTGCCCAAGCGACCGGCGCAGGCACCGAAACCAAGGAAGAAGAGCACCACATCGCACAAGAAGACAAGCCCCGATCCCGCATTGTCGCCGAGTACCTGGCGCACGGGTACGTTGTGAGCGACAATGCGATCATGAAGGCGATCGCGCTGGACAAGAAGCACGGAGTCTCGAACCGCTTCACGTCGGCCCTCACAAACTTTGATAAGAAGTACAATGCCACCGAGCGCGCTCGGGGCATCGATGATAGCTACAAGATCTCCACTAAGGCAGCTACTGGCTGGCGCGGCCTGAGCTCGTACTTCGAGAAGGCTCTGGAGCACCCCTCCGGCCAGAAGCTGCGTGACTTTTATGTTCAGACCGATAAGCAGGTGCGCGATATTCACGCCGAGGCTCGTCGTCTGGCGGATCTGAAGCAGGGTAAGACTGGTGAGGCTGAGGGTGTTGCTGTCCCTCCTGCTGCTGCCCCTGCTGCTGCCCCTGGTGTTACTGCTGCGGAGCCCGCTGCTGTTCCTTCTCAGGCTGAGGCTGCTGCTGCGCCCTCTGAGAAGGTGTAAGGGATCCTGGGAATGAGGTCTTAACTTAATGAGGAGATGAATATCTGCGCTGGGCGCGTTTCCTTTGTGTCTATTGCTTTCTCTTTTTCCTTCTCATGACGCCATGCCATGCCGTGTCCATAGTTTATTTTTATTTTTTTCCTTTCCGCCTGTGTGGTAACCTGATTTTTAGGCTCTTGTAACAAGCGAGCCTTTGATAACTACGGGTCTCCCAATAAGCAATACAAATGGACATAAAAGGTTGGTTTCACCATCAAGATTTAACGTATTGTTTTACTAAGTACATCACTCACAACAAAGTAGTTATTTGAGCTTATTCTTCATGATATCATTATCCGAAATTCAAAAACAAGACCCTTCCAAGAAATACCCTGTCTCAATGTTGTTTTCCCTTAAAGTACTTATCCGCCTCAATCTTCTCTAGCGGGTGTTCGGGGTTGCTCGTCAGGACATTATCCCTGAAGTATTCCGACGATTGTTGCGAGTACTCAGGTGCTGGGTGTTTGCCAACGTCGGTCTTGCCGGAGCCGGGGGTATCCTGCTGCTGGGAACCAGATTGGCGCTCCGGAGGGGGAGATTGGCGGCCGGGGTATGGAGCAGACATTGTGGATATTGTAGGATTGAGATTGATGTACTAAAGAGAGGGGTGATTGTGAGTTTCTTGATTTTTAAGAGGGGGAAATGAAGTATGAGATGAGATGGTGATCTTGGTAGTACTGACCTTCAATTGATGTAGATATGTAGGCTTACTGATGGATATAGAATACTTGTGTTTAAACAGTAAAATCTACGAAGGAACGGTGCTCCTTTTATTTGGTCCTGGGAAATCAACTGACGTTACTAAACCGGTCATTGGTGTTCATCATGATGACGTTGTGGAGTGGCATTTGGAACAAGGTGTCTCCATTTTACCTATTTTACCTACTAACCCAACATGATATTGCACCTTTTAACTATATAATATGGGCCTTGAGGCTGGTGTGTACAAGATGCTTATTGCTAGCTGTACTGCGAGGCTGTACATTATGGCCATAGATCATTACTATACGCGCATCGGTGCTGAACTACATCCTCAACTTCTTTGCTTTCTAACTATCACTTCTTTTAACTAGCCATATTTATCCCTTATTTATCACTGGCCAGCTAGTCTTACATTTTTTACCCATTTCCATCCATTACATTGTCGTCCTACCTGCCCGGTGATATAGTACTGAAATAAAAAGTGGATGGGAAAACCATGACAGCACTCATGGACCCCGAAATGCTTTTAGCTCATGAATGCCTATAGAACTTACCTTGTTTTATAACGTAGATACACGCGGATCATCAAGTTGACACCAAAAACGGAGTCACACCGACATCTGGATCTGATAGTTCAGTGCCTCTGAGGCAGATGACGTCATTCGTCACGTTTGTTTTGACCTCACATCTTCCTTCTACAGTGTTTTGCTATCACATCAGCTTGGCGACACAGTAGGTCAAAACGTTCTTGGAGGTATGACCTTTCTCGGTATAATCTACTAGTAAACGGGCGAGACACATGACTAGATGTTTATAACCCATCCCTGCCTGGTAGTCCTCCATCCACTCAGACCAACTGGCTCTTGCTATCCAAGCCAACTGCCGTCTCCGGCTCGAGGGTGGTGAGTTTGGGGTTCATGTTTCCAGATAATGGGCTGGCATGAATACGTCATGCCAGTGAGCTTCGCCATTTAGAGCCTTCGGAACTCACACAAGGGTCGAAAGTTTGTCTTGACCACCGAACTATCCCACGGCGATAGTCTGGGCTGAACGGTTTAAGGATGTTGCCCTAAAGACCAAATTTATGGTCATATTGTTGAAGAGATCCTTCTTTTGTGTCCTGAGTGCCTTGTTAGGTGTCTATCTACATGAGTGATCTTAAAATGTTCTTGTAAAAATGTGGATTCAGTTCCGAGTCCACCTATGTGGCTGGTATCTACGGGACTACAGGTTCCAGAACTGGAATCCAACATTCGTAGCATGGCTGATGTACTATATCATGAGGAAACAAGGGTGTCTTCAGGGGAATCTGTGCATCGAAGAGGATTAGAAGGGGGTGGGAGGGGAGATGCCCTCGAGCAGAATGTCCACGGGTAGGACTTTTAAGAGTACATCAGCGAGAGCATGACAGGAAAAAGACATGACGAATGAAACACGGAGGTACAGAGCAGATGGGACATGATCTAAAGAGGCAGGAAAGACATGAAATGGGCATATGGTCTCGTGAGGAAAATGTGGAAAGGGGAAAGAAATCTGAGACTAGGCGTCCGAGGCATTGGAAATTCGAAGCTTTTTTTGTTTTTCTCAATCCATCTCGGTTATAGTCTCTTAGTTGCCGTTGGCCTGCATGCCCGCTGCGGCGGCGGCTTCTGCGTTAGCAGCGGCGACCATGGCCTTGGCATCGGCTTCGTGGAAGACGCCTTGAATGACCTGCTGCTCTTCGGGACCGAGAACCTTGGTCAGACTCTCGTACAGCTGGGGCTGTTCTTGCTGAAGGCCTGGAATTGAGGTTAGCGGGTGATACGCGAAGGAAATTCTCTCGTAGATGTCACTTACTCAGCAGCACATGCTTGAACATGCCATATGGCTCCACCTTGTCCAGAGGGGTCTCCAGAAGGCTTTCCTCGTCCATGTCATCATCGTCATCATCGGCGTAGGAGCCGAACTTTTGAGCCTCCTGGTTGAGGAAGTCGAGGTAAGCGGCACTCTCGTCGGCAACGTCGTCTTCCTCAAGAGCTGCTTCAACCTCGTTTTCGTCCCACTCAACATCTCCATCCCAGTCATTGTCCTCGTCATCCTCATCATCCTCATCATCGAGGGTGAAGTCGGACTCCCTGGTAGCATCCTCACGTTCTGAATAAATTCTTAGCCTCTGGGGAACACGACGGGGTGATTAGGGGAAACATACGCTTGAGAGCAGCAGGCAGGGTCTGGAAGAGTCTTGTCACACCCTGCAACAGCCTGGGCCATCCCTGCTGGACACTGACTGGAACATCGGAAGCCTTTAGAGTAAGCAACGAACTGATCGCGGCAATTGACAGCTTCTTGTCGTGCACACGTCTGAAGTTATCGATGTTAGCGAACCAAGTGCTGAAGAACTTGTTGGTCCAGCCCTTGGCCTCCATAACCTGAAGACTGAGAGCTGAGTTGTAGTAGATGGCGTTGATGACCATCTCCATCAAGTGGATGCGGTACGACTTAGTGCGTGCCTCGCCGGCATCGATAACCCGCATGGCCATCTCAATGAACATGGGGATATACTGGTCAATGTGACCCCGAAGGTTGAGCATCAGAGTCTCAGCAAGCTTGCACCCGCAGATGCGGTCAACGCCACCAACCTTGTCGTCGGAGAAGATGTCCTGCACCATACCGACCATGGCGTCCAGGTAAGCTGGGTTTTGAACCAGCATATCAGAGCCATAAGCGACATAGTTGTCAAGGGCGGGGAGCATATCTGCACGCAGAAAAGTCAATAGAAGTTCAAAACCGCGGGAATTGATGTGAACCTCCTACCTTCAAGGTACAGCTCAGCACCAGCCTTGAACGTCTTGTGAATCAGCTCGAAGGCTTGCCACATGGACGGCGAAATGGTCTTGGATGCGAATGTGCAGCTGTCAATGATCTCGAAAATTTCGTTGTAGAGATCTAGAATAATCAATTAGACGTGGACGTGAAATTAATGGATTAAAAAACTTACCATAAAGCTTGTTCTCCAGGGTGATGCTGATGACAGGCATCAGGATGGTCTCGAGGTGTAGAAGCACGTCAGGGGTGCTCTCGAGTGTGAGAATGAGAGTGCCGATGGTCTGCAAAACGCCCAGAGCGGTGATGCTCTTGTCATCCAAGAAATCACCGTAGCCATCCTCGTCACCACCCTTGGAGGCGTTACGCTCCAGAAGCTCACCAACAATGCGCATGTAAGTGTCGCGGAGCTGCTCGCTCAGTGCCACAGCGAAGGGAGTAAGCTCGGCAGAGAAGACCTCAACAAAGTCCTCCATGACGTTAGCCAGAGCATCCACATCGACCTCGTTGGCCAACTTGAGAAGCTGCTGCATAATCTGGGGGATGTTCTGCTGCATCGATGTACGGATGACATCGTGACGGATAAGGGGCTGCAGAGCAAGGGCGGCCTCAACTCGCACGGGAAGTTCGGAATCGGTCATGGACTCGAGGATGTTTCGGTAGATAACCATGAGGTTGTTCGGGTCCTTGAAGTCGAGCTGCTCGAACTTCTCCAGGGTGTCACAAGCACGGGCACGGAGGAAGCCGTGAGGACTGCGGAATTCGGGGAAAACATGACGGACGAAGAAGTACTCGACCTGATCAGCAATTGGACTCTTCTTGCCTAGGATGACGGAAGCCAGCGATCCAATCATTCTCAAAGCACCCTCCTTCTCCCTGGGCTGCTTCTGCTCCTCCGGCTCAGACTCATACTTGCTAACAACACTGTTTACGAATGTGAGAATGGAGAAAGTCTGCTTCTTGCGGTTCTTGGTGAGGGAAACCAAAAAGTTTGTGGCGGCGACATCAGGAGCCGACACTTCCTCATAGAAGTTCAACTTGCGGTGGAGGTATTCAGATGGGTCATCTTCGAAAAGCTCAATGTCCTCGTCAGACTGGCACAAGATGGGGAAAACGAAGTGGGCAATCAGGTTGTCCATGTGCGGCTTCAAGTGGTCCCACATGGCCTTCGGTTTGACACACTCCTCCATGAAGACCAAAGTATATGAAAGTGCGGAGTTGCTGAGCCATTGCGTCTTGGACACCCACTTGTCGATCTCCGTCAGGTATCCCTTGAGAATTTCGGGGGCGAAAGTGCTGATAAAGGTCTTCGCATACGGTGTGTAATCGGGGGTAGAGGATTTGGTGATCGTGGTGGGGTTGCCGTATCTGATGAATAGACGGTTCAGGTTGGCGTAGGACCACTTCTTGCACTTCCACCAGTGGTTCATCTCCCTCTCCTCCTTCGAGTCTGCCATTGAGCTCGCAGGGGGTACCTTCGAGACAATGCGAAGGAATAGTGTACACCAGTCCACAGTTGCCTGGTGGGTCTGTAGGCATGGAGAAAGCTCAAACTAAATCCGCAACCAGTCAGTATAAATGGATTAGCCACGTGCAGACTAGAATCAGGGTAAACCGACGTAAATTGCGTGCTTGAAAGCCTTCACCACAATACGGAGCATCTCCGCAGCCTCCAAGCTTTCCTCGTCAACAAGCTTAGATCCGATGCTGAGCAGCTGGGGGAATGAATGCTCCACGATTTTATCGAACTCCTCTCTCTTCTCGCCGGCCTTAAACCTGTAAACACGGCAGACGGCCAAAAGACACTGCAGACCCGCATAGACCGTACTTGCGTCATTGGTGCCGAGAAGCTGCAGAGTAAGATCCAAGAATCCGGGCCACTGCTCGGGGAAATCGTTTTGGAGGATCTTCTGGAGGAGGGGAACCAGTTGATTGCGGACATTGGGAGGTGTCGAGGCCAAGGCAGGGATAAGTCTCTCCCTGAAACTGGGCTTCTCAGCTTCAGGAATTGGCGTACGCTGCGGGCTATCTTCAACGGGGGCCCATCCACGGGTAATACGA